GTTTCCATCGGTGTGAGATCAGCATTTGGCTTCCTGTGGTACCAAGGGATGATGGTGATACCTCCGTCGGGTCTGAAACTGAGCCTGGAAGAGCTCGCTGGGGTGGCACGAGTGGGAAATGGCAACCTCTCTGTCTTTGGGAAGGCAGGGTGGTTTTTTCTTTATTCTTGAAGTCTTTGGTCCCCGTACTTTTAATAGGTAGAGCAAAAAACCTGGTTTAGACCTAGGGACAACTAGGGAAAAAAAGATAATTAACTCTGATTAGGAGAACCCTCTCCTTTCCTAAAGCTCTTCCCCAAGGAAGCAGTGACTGGACAGGGATTTGTGAGCTGGATGACTGTTCCTTTTGATTTCTAGATATTTTGCACTCGCTCTTAAGGAAGAACATGGTTTCTTCCTGGGGAGGCCCCATCTGGAGCTGAGTGTCCAGCTCTGGGCTCCCCAGTTCCAGAAGGACAGGGAACTGCTGGAGAGGGGACAGCAGAGGCTACAAAGATGATGAGGGCCCTGGAGCATCCCTCTTAATGAGGAACGGCTGAGGGACTTGGGTCGTCTTACAAGGAAAGGCTGGGACTTGGGTCTTTTTAGTCTGGAGAAGAGAAGGCTGAGGGGGGATCTGATCAACACCTCTAAATCCTTCAAGGGTGGGTGTCAGGAGGATGGGGCCAGGCTTTTTTCAGTGGTGCCCAGGGACAGGACAAGAGGAAATGGGCACAAACTTGAACATAAGAAGTTCCACCTAAACATGAGGAGGAACTTGTTTGCTGTGAGGGTGGCAGAGCCCTGGCAGAGGCTGCCCAGAGAGGTGGTGGAGTCTCCTTCTCTGGAGACATTCAAAGCCCACCTGGACACGTTCCTGTGGGACCTGCTCTGGGTGGCCCTGCTCTGGCAGGGGGTTGGACTGGATGATCTCCAGAGGTCCCTTCCAACCCCAGATCATTCTGGGATTCTGTGATTCTGTGCCTGAGCTCCCTAAGGGTGATATGTCTCTATGTGGAGACAGTTGGATGCCTCCATTTCCATGCGGCTCATCACAGCTCCTCTCTGCAGTTATTACCAGCCTAATCGTTTTGACTTCTGGTCAACAAAAACTAGAAAAAGGAACAAAAAAAAAAACTCCCTAGAAAGGGTGATTCTGCTGAGTGTCTTTGTGGCAGCACAATACAAGAAGGTATTGATGCTGTCGCAGCTAAAGAAGGATCCCACCGACAAGGTTAATGGGAGGTGGGTACAGTTCTTCTTTCCGTCTCTTTAGCAGCTAGAGAGAACAAAAAAGGTGAATTTTCTGATAATTCCTCGGTGTTAAAGTTTGCTGCAATCCTGTCCTTCTGCCAAATCGAGGTGATTTCTGGAAACCCTCATGTGTTCAGCGTTGTTGGAAGTGTCTGGGGAACCTTTAGTATTTGCTAAGCAGAGCTTATTGACTTCCTTGGCCGTACAAGGATAAAGATGTAAAAATGTTCCAAAACTTGGACTTGAAACAAATTTAGTTATCAAACCAGTTCTGCTGAATGACAGCAATGGAAAAGGCATTGAAATTCAAGATGGAGGGCAGCTCTGAGGAGCAAGACCTGGGAGTCCTGGTGGACAACAGGATGCCCATGAGCCAGCAATGGGCCCTGGTGGCCAAGAAGGCCAAGGGCATCCTGGGGGGCATGAGGAAGAGTGGGAGCAGCAGGTGGAGGGAGGTCATCCTGCCCCTCTGCTCTGCCCTGGGGAGGCCCCATCTGGAGCACTGGGACCAGTTGTGGGCTCCCCAGTTCCAGAAGGACAGGGAACTGCTGGAGAGGGGACAGCAGAGGCTACAAAGATGATGAGGGACCTGGAGCATCTCTCTGCTGAGGAAAGTCTGAGGGACTTGGGTCTTTTTAGTCTGGAGAAGAGCAGACTGAGGGGGGATGTGATCAACACCTCTAAATCCTTCAAGGGTGGGTGTCAGGAGGATGGGGCCAGTCTTTTTATGGTGGTGCCCAGGGACAGGACAAGAGGAAATGGGCACAAACTTGAACATAGGAAGATCCAGCTAAACATGAGGAGGAGCTTCTTCACTGTGAGGGTGGCAGAGCCCTGGAAGAGGCTGCCCAGAGACGTGGTGGAGTCTCCTTCTCTGGAGACATTCAACCCCCACCTGGACACGTTCCTGTGGGACCTGCTCTGGGTGGCCCTGCTCTGGCAGGGGGTTGGACTGGATGATCTCCAGAGGTCCCTTCCAATACCAGATCAGTCTGTGATTCTGTGTAAAAGTGGTGAAAAAAGGATCATAAACCCCATGGTTGATGCTGGGCCTGGTCTTGCTGATGAGGGGTCCTTCTCATAAAATTGCTAAAAAGTGGAGGAAGACTCGGCGGAGGTGTTTTTTTTCTTCCATTTCCTGGGATCCAGATGATTTTCTGCTTCTTTCTTGCCACAAAAGGAGTCATTTGTTTAATTTTACAAAACGTTACTGAAGCTGTTGGAACTGAAACTTGCAGCCCACGTCTTCTTGATAAATGACTGTGTGTATTCCTGGAAGGAAGTTAAAACGGGGCTGGGTTATATTTGGTGCCTCCCGAAGCTCTGAGGCTACTTTGGGTACAGAATGTGCTCAAAGAGAGACTAATTTGCCACTGGAGAGCTCGATGTGATGAGATTTGTCAAGTCGTCCTTTCTGCTGGAATTCACCTACGCTTTTTTCTCTCTCCTAAAGGTTTTTGCGGATATGTTTTAGAGTTGTGTCTTTGCACTGTGTCAAGTGAAAAAGCCTAAAACCAGGATTAAATTCCAAGCAATGAATGTGCTTGTTCTAAGGTAGAAATACAGAAGTGAAGCATTTCTACAACATGTGGGAATATTAGGAATTAGGAAGGAATTTTTCACAGAAAGAGTGATAGGGCATTGGAATAGGCTGCCCAGGGAGGGGGTTGAGTCACCATCCCTGGATGTGTTTAAGGGACGTTTAGATGCAGTACTGAGGGATATGGTGTAGGGGAGGACTTTGTAGAGTAGAGTGGTTGGACTCGATGATCCCAAGGGTCTTCCAACCTGAATGATTCTATGATTCTATGATTACTAAGTCGTTTCCCTGAGTGCTCATGGTCTTCGTAACAACAGCGTTGGGACTATCTGGACCTTTGAACATCAGCAGGGTGGCTTTTGACTTCTCTCAGATGGCTTCGTGGTTGTTGCCTGTGGTTGGCGTTTCCGGGAACTTCAGTCAAAAATTAAGAATCAGTGAAAATGAAGATTAGATATTAGGAAGAAGTTCTTTGGTGTGAGGGTGGTGAGGCCTGGCCCAGGTTGCCCCGAGAAGCTGTGGCTGCCCCATCCCTGGAGGGGTTCAAGGCCAGGTTGGAGGGGCCTTGGAGCAACCTGCTGTGGTGGGAGGTGTCCCTGCCCAGGGCAGTGGGGTTGGAACTGGATGATCTTTAAGGTCCCTTCCCACCCAAACCATTCTGTGATTCTATAATTTATCTTTTTTTTTTATGTTCACTTCCAATTTCATGTTGTTTCCTTTTCTGGCCTTTCAGGGCCTCTTGAAGTAACACTGCAGGAAAAGGTGAGATGGATCAACCCTCCCAAAGAAACTCGCAGTTATTTTACCGGATCCGACATTTTCTGTGGCCTGTTTTCTCCCCGAGAGTGTTTTTTGAGTGAATGTAAACTAATACTGGATCAGTGGTTGGAAGCAATGAAAAAATATTTAATGTAAACCTTTTGGTGCTGGGTTGATTAAAATAAACAACTGTTAGAAGGAGCACTGGGCCTGCTTTGTGAACAGTAAGGTTTCTGTTCCTCTGTCTAATGCATAAAGCATGTGGAGCTGCTTGAGAGCTTTTTTTGTGTGTGCTCTACTTTATTCGGAGCTATTTCGTTTTCAGTTCTCTGGGCTTTTGTGTCAGCCGGGACGGGAGGGTGTAGGAATAACAGGTAAAACTTTGTTAAGGCTCTTCAGTCCCAAATCCTGACAAATAGCTGGTTTCCGAGTGTTGAGATCACAGAATGAGAGAATGATCTGGGGTTGGAAGGGACCTCTGGAGATCATCCAGTCCACCCCCCTGCCAGAGCAGGGCCACCCAGAGCAGGCCCCACAGGAACGTGTCCAGGTGGGGTTTGAATGTCTCCAGAGAAGGAGACTCCACCACCTCTCTGGGCAGCCTCTGCCAGGGCTCTGCCACCCTCACAGGAAAGAAGTTCCTCCTCATGTTGAGATGGAACTTCCTATGTTCCTGTTTGTGCCCATTTCCTCTTGTCCTGTCCCTGGGCACCACTGAAAAAAGCCTGGCCCCATCCTCCTGACACCCACCCTTTAAGGATTTAGAGGTGTTGATCAGATCCCTCCTCAGCCTTCTCTTCTCCAGACTAAAAAGCCCTGAGTCCCTCAGCCTTTCCTCGTTAAGAGAGATGTCCTAGTCGCCTCATCATCTTTGTAGCCTCTGCTGTCCCCTCTCCAGCAGTTCCCTGTCCTTCTGGAACTGGGGAGCCAAGAAATGGAAGCTTGATCTTTTTCTCTCCTTTTGAAAGCTGAGAAGACCCTGGTTGTGATTTCACTCGCTCCTGGTGCTGTTCATTTCTGGTTTCTGTGCAATTCTTCAGCAGAGCGTCGGTGAAGTGTTGTTGATGTAGATGTTGTGCACCATGTGAATATTCCACCCCGAGCTGTTGGGCTGTTGCCAAAAGATTTTGTGTCATGATTTGAAGGGGCAAACATGAAATTTCTGCTTTCTTTTACCTACAGTAATGGGAAAACGTACCCTTGGTATGTTTAGGGGAAGACAAATTGAGATATTTTTTTTTTTGTAGGAGAGGTGCAGTAAATACACATATTTATTTGTCTAATGAAATGTGGGGGACAGATCTTTGTGACAGCTGGTCTTGTAGCCACCTCCCGTCTCCTTTCCCTCTCCTCCTCTCCATCGCTCCTCCTTTTTGTTTGCACCTCTTACATCTACCCATTCCTCCTCTTGCTCCTGTGGAGATAAAGACCACTTTTTTCTAGAAAAAGCCATCTTTTCTGTCCGACAGGTTTGGCCGCGGAGCCTCACGAGTCTCTCTCTCTCTGTTGGTTGCTACTGCAGAGCTGTGGAATGCTGTGAAGACTCCCTGCCCTGCAGCCCTAGGCAGACTCCTCTCCAGATCATCCCCATCCAAAGGAAGCTCATCTCCAAGAGGTACCAATTCATCTTTTATGGGTGTCCTTCAACTGTAGAACTTGAGTTAAATACTCCCCCAAACACCTTTCTCCCAACTCCCATACCGTGGAGACTGCAAGCGTTGATTAAAAAGTGTTGGTGTTGGTACAAGTTGGGCATTTGCTTGTATTAAATGAACTTTGGTACGGAATTACATTAAATTTTAAACTAAGCAAGTAATTTCTGCATCAGGAAGCTGAAACTCCAGGAACACCGCATGTCTAGCGTATTTTATTGTGTTGATTTATAAAGTTAATAAGCCTAAGGTAATCAGCAGGCTGGAGCAGAACACGCAGTAGGTATGTGCTGCTATAAAGAACTGTGAGAGTTAGGGAGAATTTTTTTTTAGTGTTTATTAGTCTTAATATCTTCTTAGTGAATAATTTATTTTTATTTTATATTAAAAAGAAGGCAAAAAGAACTGCTCGCGTTCACTAGTGGGTCGGCAAAGGCATGATTCCTGGTATAAATTGCTCTCATTTGCATTTAGACAGGCACTTTGTTTTCTAATAGTTGATGTTTTTTAAAATATAAGCTTTGCAGTGTTATGTTGTCTGTAAATTGGTTGGAGCAGGTTCTATCTTATTTATTTTTGCATACGATGCCTAACGTTATGAAACCCGAACGGGTCAAGCTCTCTCAGCATTTATAGATAAGAAAAGAAAATATAATAGTAGTATAATGTGATATACAGCTAGATATTAAACGTGCCACTTCAGGAAATCCCTGTGTCACACACAATTAGGGGCTGGAAAGTTTGCTGGGGAAATGCCACCATACGCCTGCCCCACGCTGAGATTTTCCCCTGGGTTTTCACACATGGTTGTTGAAGTGTCAGCCCAACCTGACCCATCTCTCCTTGTGCAGAAGGATGGAAAAACCAGGGTTGACTCTTCTTCCCCCCCAAAAATCTTTTATATGTTTTGCTGCTGGCTTGGTAACATGAACTTGAAATGTCAGCTGCCAGGATAACCCACTGGGTGTTCTGCTCCTACTCAAGTCAGATTTGTTGAAAACCAGATGTGGACAGTCCCGATGGGTGCTCTCTGTGCTTGGATCCACTGCACTGTGTTGGGATTGAACATTTTGATGTGTTGGGACCCTTCTTCTCCCAATATTTTAGCACCTGGAAGTGCTCCAGCCCTGCTTTGGGAAAAACCTGCCCTGATTTAGATGCCTCTTCTTTGGGTACGGAGAAAATGATTGTTGAGAAAAATTATGGCTGTTATTTCTTCCTCATCCCCCCCTCAGCAGCTCGACCTGTCTTGGGTGGGATGGGACAGAAAGTGCCAAACATTTCAGAAGAGCTTTGCTTCCTCCTTGCTTGTGCTCATCCCTCAAACAACAACGATGGGCCCCTTTCCGTTTCCCTCCCCCTTTTGTTGAATATCATGAAAAAAGGATAAAGGTGCGAAAAAAAAAAGGACCTTTGTGCTGCTCCTGTCCCCGTTTTCTCTCCACTGCCTCCAAGAGATAGAGTTGGGGGTTAAGTTTTTTTTTTTTTTCTGGGCCTGATAAACAGGCCCAGGGCTGCAGAAGAATGGGTTGGGAGGTAAGGAGAAACCAGAGATGGGGTCTGAGTTGCTCAGACTGGAGAATTGGGACTGGCATTGGTGGGAGAACTGGAAGACAAGCTGTTTTTTCAAATGAGAGCACGTTGTTAAGTGGTGGCTTTGCATCAGAAAGAGAACTTCTGGTCCAAGGAGCTCCTGGTCCAATTCAGCTCCACATTAAGAAATTTAAGTTCAAGCTTTGTTTGTGTCTGCTGGGTGTCCGGAGCTCCCAGTTGGTCCCTGGAGATCTCAAGAGTGGAATTGATGGAGCCTGGGGAGATTTGGGTGACTGAAGTACTGGTTGTCCTCTTCAGGTCAGTCAGGGTTGCTCTCCAGGTTGTGACTGCTCTGCTTGGGATCTCCATCAGCCACTGAGTTTACTTTTTAGGTGTCTTTATCTTGGATTGAGCCTCCCCCTTTCACTCATGATGGTAAATAGTGTTCAGAAATCAAAAGGTGGAAGAAATGGAGTTAAACTCCTGCATGTGTGAGTGCCCTAAATTTATTTAGTCTGGGTTATTTCCTGCTCGGGAAGTACCTCACTCCCCCAAATCCTAAGTGGAATTCCAGCAATTACATAGTTAATCACTCTGTGTGTGTGTGTAAAATCCACGTGTATCTGAAAATACCACTCTTATCTGTCTAATGGTTTGGTTTGATGTAAATATTTTTAAACATGCTTTTACGTGAGGCTGGTTTTTATACAGTGTGGAATTTGGTGTGTGGTTACCGGGGCCTGGACTTTATTCTTTTGCTCCGTTCACCTCAATGTTCCTCAACTCAGAGGGAAAATTTCTGATCTTTAGTCTCCTGACCAGTTTGGTGATCTTTGTTGGACTGGGAATGCCCCAAGTCCAGAGCTGAAGGGAAGCATCATGCCAGCAGGTGATGGATACTTCTCTGTGTTGGGGCATGACCACCTCACTTAGGGATTTTGTTTTCTGCTGCAGGAGCAAATAATTTCTTCACACATCTTAACTTTTCTTGAATGTTTTGGAGAAGAAATTCTGTTTCAGAGAACATACGATACGGAAGGGGATTTCTGTTAAGCCAAATTATGTACTGCATCCAGGACAAGATAGACATGGACCTGTTGGAGAAGGTCCAGAGGAGGCCATGAAGATGATCCAAGGGCTGGAGCACCTTTGCTGTGAGGACAGGCTGAGAGAGTTGGAGCCTGGAGAACTTGGGGGAGACCTTCTTGTGACCTTTCAATATATAAAGGTGGCTTCTAAAGAAAGATGGAGAGAGACTTTTCACCAAGACCTATTATGTGCTGCATCCAGGACAAGATAGACATGGACCTGTTGGAGAAGGTCCAGAGGAGGCCATGAAGATGATCCAAGGGCTGGAGCACCTTTGCTGTGAGGACAGGCTGAGAGAGTTGGAGCCTGGAGAACTTGGGGGAGACCTTCTTGTGACCTTTCAATATATAAAGGTGGCTTCTAAAGAAAGATGGAGAGAGACTTTTCACCAAGACCTGTAGTGATAGCACAAGGGACAATGTTTTGAACTCAAGGAGGGCAAGTTTAGATTGGACATAAGAAAGAAGTGTTTTATGATGAGGGTGATGAGACACCAGAACAGGTTGCTTAGAGAAGTTGTGAGTGTCCTATCATGGGAAATGTTCAAGGTGAGGTTGGACAGGGCTGTGAACAGCCTGATCTAGTGAAAGATGTCCCTGCACATAGCAAGTAGGGTTGGATTAGATGATCTTCAAAGTTCCATTCCAACCCAAACCATTTTATGATTCTGTGAGATCCCAGGATCCTGTGAGACATCATATGGTTAGAGTGAAAGGAGAAACCTGTCCCTTTTTCCTGGTAGAGTCTAGTGATGGTGATACCAAGAACAATGGTTCATGCTTCTGATTCAGATGGTGGGCTTGATGGAAGAAAAACCTTGCTGTTGGTTTGGTTATGAGGGCAGCCATAGAACTATGGTTGGACTAGATGATCTTCAAGGTCCTTTCCAACCTAGACGATTCTATGATTCTATGAACTGGTGTTTTCCATCCTACCACATCACTGAAGCTTTACTGGGTGTGCAACACGATTGGGCATTTCCTAAGGATGCTCTTAGAGCGAGCAAGAGCGGCTGCCTGGAGAGCAGAACCCTCTAAGGTGTTTCTTCTGCTCTTGCTTTTGGTTTTGCCCACCAACCTCTTGCTGTATATTGGGAGAAACAGGAACGTAGACACCCTTGATCCATAATGGAGAATGTTGGTACGTGTCTTTCTCTTAGCTTCATTTCCTTCATCGTTACACACAGCCTGAGAGTTGTGGAGCAGCGAGGTTCTCTTAAACCCACCTCACTAAGAGCGGCTGCCTGGAGAGCAGAACCCTCTAAGGTGTTTCTTCTGCTCTTGCTTTTGGTTTTGCCCACCAACCTCTTGCTGTATATTGGGAGAAACAGGAACGTAGACACCCTTGATCCATAATGGAGAATGTTGGTACGTGTCTTTCTCTTAGCTTCATTTCCTTCATCGTTACACACAGCCTGAGAGTTGTGGAGCAGCGAGGTTCTCTTAAACCCACCTCACTGAGACAGCTCCAAGTCCCACAAGGTGCTGGATTTGGGTTGGATTCCCTTTCTTCCCTCTCTCCCATGCCCAGACAAATATTACAGGGTCTGGAAGGCTTTGGGATCTGTAATCACTTTGCCCATCCTTGCTTCACAGGAATTTTCACTTCCTGAGAAGACTTTTAGTGGGAGGTGTCCCTGCCCATGGCAAGGGGTTGGACCTAGAGGATCTTTAAGTCCCTCCCAACCCAAGCCATTCTATGATTCTATGATTTTTGTTCCTTTGTGAATACTACAGCAAAAAGTGAAAGGGAAGGGTCCCCCCCCTTCTGTGATGTACCTAAATATACTGGAACATATCAGGTAGGGAAACATCTTCCCTGCATAAGGTGATGACTTCGTAATGATTAATGACCCAGCATTTCATCCTCAGTAGCGTTTGTGCAAATGCTTCTCTTAGCAAGGACTGCTCCCTGAAAAAAAAACATTTTTAACGTTTTTTCACAGAATCACAGAATCACAGAATCTTAGTGGTTGGAAGGGACCTCTGAGATCATCGAGTCCAACCACAAAAAAAAAAAAAAA